TTCTGCCTCTGATACAGAGCAACAGCCTCAATTTGGAAGTGGGAAGAATCCAGATGAACTTCCCTATGCCTCGGCTCAGTGATAGACGGGGCCCGTTCAGTTACAACTCGCTCTCGGTTAACACCAAGACGAGCGTAGTTAATACCAACGTTGGTCTCGTCCCGTTCTGAAAAAAGGAAAGGGAAAAAGTTTAGCTCAGATATGTTGGCACAGCATAAAAAGCAAAGCGAGAGAAGAAAAAGAGGTAGTTAAAAGCCTCGGCCCCAGCCGAAGAAGCTTACCATCCTTAAACTTTCGGCTGAGGCCAACAGCTGCTAGCATATTCTCTTGGAAAACGTAATGCGTATCGGGGAGCCAAGTCTCCGGGATATGCTGCATTCGACCACTCCCCCCCGGGTTCGGCAGCTTGCCGAAGATATGTTGCTGATCCAGGTTCGGATCCGCCCCGTTATCTGCGGGGGGACCTAGACTTCCCATTTCGGGATCAGGCTCAGCTAAGTACCGGGGAGCGCTGAAGACGCAAGGGTGGCCCGGATCTGTGGGTGCCCTAACCCAAATCCATTGACCTCTCCAGTCCTTGTCTGAAGAGTCATTTGGCCACATGGTCAAATATTGGGGCCGGGACTCAATCCGATACCACCCAGAACCATGGCTTCCGTGCCCACTCTGAATATTTGGCACTAGCCGATGGAGCTTTCTGAAGCAGTGCAGGTTCGGCACGTATTTGAAGAACTTGCAGACCCATAAGTATGTCATCACCCTTCGGATGCTGGTGGGGGTTAGCTGACATAGGGAAATGTTGTAATGGATCAGCAAGTCTCGGACGAAAACGTCCAAAGGGAACCTCAGCCCATACTGAAGCTGTCTCGTGTACACCCCCACATACCCCGGGGGTGGACGATGGATTCTATCGGATGCTGAGGGCATTCGGCACCAATATCCATCAGCTTCAAAAATGCCGTAGTGCAACTCAATTTGCTCGGCAAATCGATATTGATCGGCGTTCTCTACCCACCATGAGTAGGGGCGGTTCTTTATCATGGCCGAAGCGACTTCGGCATTCTCCCACTCTGAAAACCCAGGGAGGATATCCCAAAGGACAGCGGGAATTTCATCATCCCGTCCAGAAGCACTCGGCTCATCCGTTCTTTGAGGAGGGGCCGAGGAAAGGGGAGTCGCCCTAATCCCTTCAGCAGGGTCAGACTCCGGCCTTCGACCATTCCAGGTCCCAATCCTGTTCCTAGGATCGGGAATCGGCCTTGCTCTTCTTGGAGCACGGGCTCTACCTCTAACTCCTCTTGCCATGGATTGTTTCGAAGAGAAAAGTCGAAAGAAAAGGGGAAGGAGTTCGAATTCGAAGAAAAATAAACTGAAATCAAAGGAATTTACCTTAATCTGAAGCGAAAGTTGCCGATTTACGAGTTCGTAGTGGCAAGTCTCAGTTTCTAAGCTCAATGCTCGGGGAATTTGCGAAGTTTTGATGCGGGTTCTTGGTTTCTCTCTCGAAGAAATCTGGGTTTGTGTTGGTGAATAAGTGAGGAGAATGACGCGCCTCTGTTTAGATCTCCAGGTACGGGATACGAAGAGTCTGTGCTTTAATTTCTCTTAAATACCCACTAAGTAACCATTAAACACATGTCTTGTGATTAAACTGCCCATTATCCGTCCAACTTCCACAAATCATTAACCGTTGTTATCTCATTAATTACGGTTTAAATTCAAATTTTTGGATCAATTAAATCATTTACTTCCCTCCTTTTCTGAATTAAATCAAACCCGACCCGTCATCCTTCCAAATCGGGTCTGGGGGGCAAGTTGTTTGGGTCCAATTTAGTCAAAATTGGGCCTAGGCACTAAATGATCCAATTAAAAGCCCAAGGTCAAGGTTCAACTCTCCAATTGCTCAAAAGTCAAAGGTCAGCCCACAAAGTAAGCCAATTGGGCTAAAGCCCAATCTCTCCATGCATGATGAGGTATAAAAGCCATCATATTGACACATTTAAAGAGGGGACAGACATTCACATTGCAATTCATATGCTCATTCTTGCATTCAGAAATATTCCACAAAAGCCTCAAGCTACAAACTCTCTTGCATAGTGTCTTCTTTTTACACATTGTACTGACTTTAGCATCGGAGGGGCCTTCCTCGGAATCACCCCCGAGGCTAGTTTACGTGTGTTCACTGTGCAGGAAACCTTCGGCCCAACACAACTTGGACCGAATCCAGTCTTCTCCATTTCAGCGGACCTTCGGCAAGGTCCCATTGTTTTCAACCGAAACAGATAGATATTTTTTGTTTCTTCTAAATTTTGTTTGTGGGTAATAAATCTAAAGGTCCCAAGTATTTATACTTTGAAAACTTTCCCCAAGGAATATACTGTAGAATATTTTGATATTCTGAGGGTTATTCTGAATCGTTGGATGAGGTGTGACAATCTAATCCAAGGGTTTAAAACAGAAGGTTTAATTGAGGAAGGAATTACTTTTTACTTAGGTAGATTAATTAAGTGGGAATAGAAGATAAGTAAAATGCTCGGGAATATGAGGGAATATGCCTTTTGTTTTTAGGCAGGTATTCTGATTTGAGTGGAACTATACCCGTTTTCCTAACAAGATTTAAAGAGGATAATATAATATTCTTGGTTGTGTTCTTTGGAATATATTGAGATTTCTTCTTAGCGTTTTTTTTAAGGGTTTAACTTTGAGAATTTCTTTATTCTTTACTTTACCTTCAAGGCATCAATTAAGTGACAATTCCAATGGACAATTCTGCTAAAAAAAAGTAATTGATAATTCTACTATAGACATAGGGCGTTCTTTCAAAAAATAAAAAATAAAATAAAATAAAAATAAAAATAAAAATTGAAATATGGTGTGTTCGACAAAATATAGCTGTGAATGTAGCTGTTAGCCGTAAAGGTAGTTGTTACCTGTGAAAATAGGTAATTTAGGTATAACCATAGATTAAATTTTCTTTCTTTTTTTTTTTTTTTTTGACATCTGCATAACTTAAACAAATTACAAACTTAAATTAAAGCTAATTAAAGTAGTACCTCACGTCTTTTTATCTTATTTAGATTAAATTTTCAATAGTTACCTCAAAAGCTACCTCTAAATCTAATTCTACTAGTGCTTTGATTGGTCAAGATGCTAATTACTACCTCAAATGCTACCACCAAATAGGGCCAAAAGCTAATATTTCTAACTTTTCATGAAAGCCGCATCCACCACTAAAAGCTACCCTAATCACTATTTTGCCAAATACTCACATTATTTGTTAAGTAGTGTCTTGACCAAGTCAAACCACTAAAAGTTACTCAAAAGCTAGCGTCAAACACGCCCATAATATAGAGCATGTTTTTTTTTTTGACCCAAAGCTATACTTGTAGGTATGTATTGCATTGGTACCATATGTCCAAATCTTACATACTTTGTCTTGTTTTGTTAAAGTAGAATTAATAATTAATACATAGGTAGTATATAAATAAGGATAATTTGTCTAAAAAGGACATATATGTTCACTTATTTGTCTAGAAAAACCTTATATATTTAAAGTGGTCTAAAATGACATTAGTTTGTTTTGTTGTTTTGGAGGACCTTGATGCCGGAATCCGACCATTGATTTTTTTTTTCCCGGCGTTTACCTCACACGGGACTTAAAAATATGACCCTCCCTATCCAGAGCTGTTTGAACACCTTTATTGCACCTCATCATCTTGGTCTTCATCTCTTCACAGTACTAGAAATAGGCCGATTTTTTACGGACATGAAAATTAGTCAAAAAGTACAAAATTTCCAACAGAGTTTATTTCCTTCTAACTAACTAGATTAGTCAAAATTTTGACGCGTGAGTACTTACCACCCGTGATTAAATCCCGTTTACAACATAACACACCCTTGAGAAGGAAAAAAAAAACGTAGTCTAATAGTGACTGCCGAGTAAAGTGATTCGAGTCTTTCATTTCCCGAGTAAAGAACAAATACGGTCCCCGAACTTTCGTATTTGTGCACTTTTAGTCCCTCAACTTTCATTTGTGAACTTTTGGTCCCTCAACCACCACTCTCGGTGATTCTGACCAAAAAAATTGAAGGACCTTGCTTAGTCAACAAAAGTTTAGGGACCATGAGCTGTTATTTTTTTTTTTCAGGTATTGATATTAATATTTATTACTTACTTTGACTAAAATAAGAAAGAAAACTTTGATTAGTAACCTATTAAACACCACCGGCACCCACCTTGTACCACCACTCTCTCACCACCATTTAGAACTGAAACTCCACCACAACCACCAAAAACCCACCCGACCAACTCGCACCACTAGCAACACCCCACCCAATAACCACCCTCAGCTCTCACAGTCTAACTACCACCGAGATCTGAAACCCCACATCACTAGCCCTAAGATCGAAACTCCGCCTCATCACCACCATGTGTAACCCCACGTCACCATCCTCCAGGCCACCAACAAACCAAAACCCCACATCACCGGTCACCAGCACCACCAGCGAACCATATCCCAAACTCATCATCAACACCACTTAAATCTGAAACCCACCTTACCATCGCAAAGATCAGAAACGCACAACCACCAATACCTCACCCATATTGGTAAAAACAATCATCAAAGCCTACCCAAATTGCGAATCGAAAACCTTGAAAAGGGAAAATGAGGCAGCAACTTTAAAAGGGGAAAAGGAGGTGACGACGAACCGACAAGGTGGAAGGCGGCCGACAACTATGATGAGAACGGACGCGAATCGATCGGGTAGTGGTGGTGGTGTGGTGGTTGTGAGATAAGAATGAGCCATTAGCGAAGCTTGGATAATTTTTTTTATGGGTGGTAGCTATTGTCGAAGGAGATGAGGGAGTTGTAAGCCATGGGACTAGGGGAGAAGGGAGGAGAGAGAAAATTGGAAGGGGGGTTAGGGTTAGGGAAGAGGGGGAGAGAGAGAGGAAGCCATGAAAAGATAGATAAAGATTAATTTTTTTTTTTTCAATTAAAAAAACAAAAGATTTTTAATTGGTTTTAATATGGAAGAACAACATTGTTTTTAATTTAATTACTTTATATTTCTAATTAATGATTGAGTTTTGATTATATTGATTCAATTGGGCCAGGTGGCTAATTTCAATCCTAAACTTTTTTCATCATCACATTAGCCACCTCACATATAAAATTTCTTATTGTGCACCAAAAAAAAAAATAAAGATTCTTACAAAATAAATAAATCTAACTAAAAAAAATATTATTGACTCAAGGTCCCTAAACTTACACTGATTAAGCAAGGTCTCTCAATTTAAATATGGTGGTTGAGGGATCAAAAATACACAGTTGAAAATTAAGGGACTACAAGTGCACAAATACGAAACTTTAGGGACCGTATTTGTGCTTTACTCTTACTTTAATCCGCCTCCGTTGAAAATGGGCAGTTGCGATAATACAGCAAACCCTAAGACAGATACTTCCTCAGTGCTCCAGATTATTCTTCTCGGAGAATAAAGCTCTGTAAGTTGAAGTCTTTTGTAATTCCCTATTTGGTTTTCGCCCTTAATTTGGTGATTTCAATCCTTATTTGCAGTTTTTATTTATTTTTGTTAAGAAATTGTGTAATTGGGCATCAACCCATACTGTTTACTAATTTTTCAAATTGACTTGATGTTCATCTTTCTGGCCTTCTGGGAATTGGGTGCTCGAATTCTATTAATTCCTCTTTTATTAGAAAAATAAAATAAAATTATCAATCAATTTAGGAATTAAATTAATAATAATTTGTAAATCAAAATTGCCCTGTTTGGCTGCTTGAAATCATTTGGCATTGCATAGTGTGCAACTTTGTAGGTATTTGATGCTTGACTTCAAATTGTAGGTGTTGTGTTTTTCATTTGATTATAGAGTATATATTAAGAGTATGGCCTTTGATGCATTTTCCCAATTTCCATATTATACCTTGTATTTATGATTGTATTGCTAATTTGCTACATAGTGCTATCATTGATATGGATATGATTTCTGATTTTTCAAGTGTTCTGTGGCCTTAGGCGAAAACGGGATGTGTAACAGTGTTGAAAACTGCTCTGAAGAGCTGGCCTATCCGTTCCATTGAGTTATGGCATGAGGTGGTATTTTGGTGAGGGAGGCTCATGAGAGACTTAAGCCAATGGGCACTGTGTTTGTAAGACTGGTTCGGTCGCTCGGATATTGCTTGGATCAAACCGCTTGCAACTGCACAGTTCCGAAGTGGAAGGTTAAGTGGGTAACTACTACGGAGTAACTAGCTATTGTTGAGTATTTTCAGAGGTCTTGGCCTGCACAGGTCTGTTGTCAAATTCAGAACAACGTTTATATCATTGTATAGTCTGTAGAGGCAAACATATATTCTGGAATTTCAATGAATGATTATGATCACTGGTTTCTTGGGTCTTCTGTGTAGAAATCTGTTCTTTTCAATGGGGTGATAATATATGCTGTGCTTAATTATTGGCTTAAATCTTATATATGCTTGCCTTCTGTCATTTTATAGCATTTTCGAGACTTTGTGATGCATTTGTGAAAATTTTCAAAATGCCTTATTAGTTTAAAAAAAAATAAGTGAATGTTACCATATGTCTGTTATGATAACAAGCATTAGGTTTAAAGGATTAGTAAAAGTATCAATAGTTGCTATGTACTGGTAACATATGGAAGGATTAGGGTCATTTGTGGGAAACAGCCTCTATGGATTTCCACTGGTAGCCTTAACCTAATTTGCATAAATACATTATACGGAGTAATAGAATAACGCCTTATTTGGTTTGATGTAAAATATTTTCATAGAAAATGATTTTCCCATTTTCCTTTATTTGGTTGTGAAGGGGCGGAAAATAATTTTCCCAATGGTGGAAAGCATTTTCTTTTACAAAACAAGAGAAGCCAACTTTGCCTCCCCTTTTCCTTACCTCCTTTTTACTTTCCTCTCTTCCATCCTTACACTTCCAAACCTATATTTTTTTATTTCTCTATAACTTTTCTTGATGGTACCAAACAAAGGAAACTAATTTGCAATTTTGGTTTTCCTTGAAAATGTTTTCCATGAAAACTAATTTTCCATTGAAGATATTTTACATCAAACCAAACGGGGCCTAAATGAAAAATTGTTGATGTAAATTTTATTGATGAGCTATTAAATTCTCAGGTCGATTTGATTTGTTCGAGTAAAGAAATTTTCGACTCAGCTTGGCTTGGGTTGAATCTTTACTTTGCTTGATCTGATTGTTTGAAGGCTACCAGTGGACTGCTTGATCTAGGGTAATGCACAGTTAATCAAACTCCTGTTTGATTAGTAGGATCACCATTAATTCAAAGTCTAGTAAAACCATTGGTAATGAAGCACAAAGCCCACTTCATTTGTTGTATAAAGTGCGTAGCAGCATAGTATGACTGAGAAATTGTAGTCAACTAGTCACCTAGGAATCCATAATAATGCCTCTCGAAGATTATAAATTACCTCTTTAAATATGTCTACAAAAAGAATGGCTGATGCAATGATGATTCATCAGTAAGATGTAAGATGTAATCTGTAATCACTTGGGGCTTTTTTTTTTTTTTTTTTTTTGGTGTTTAGAGAGCCACAAGGATGAGTGACGATAATCGATTTTAGGTTCACCTGGAACCATGAAGAGGGGCTTTGGTTTGTTTTATGTGTACATTTACCTTCATATATGTATCTATGCACAAGTACTTATATTTATTTATTTATTTTTTCTATAAAAGCTCTTTGTGCTTTGTCAGAATGGTAATTTGGTTTTGGCTGTGATTATAATGTTTTGATTTGTAAGGATTAACACAGTATCATGTATAATACAAAAAAGAATAGCCAGGCTGTATGTGTTTTTGTGCATATTTTTTTTTTTCTTGATGTGATTTAGTTCTCTATTACAAACCTTTGGATGATATACTCCTAATACATTTATATGGAGAAGAAACTGATTAGTTTTTGTTGAGACGAAGTCATAGATTTGTAGTTTTGCATCTGAAGACAATTTTGATGCAGAAGCACTATGATAGAACAAAGGGCAAAATTCTATTTACATTTCATGTTTACGCTAGCTAGGTTTGATTATAAGCATAGCTCCTTGACCCTTCAAATATTCGTTTTGTCTAATACAAATGATGAAAGGATGTATAAGTGCACTACAATACTACATCACATCTTAATCCTCTGATTATTTTGCCTTGGATCCATTTTGGTCTGATTGGAGAATATAGGATTTTCAAAGAAATTTGTTGCTCAAATAACAGCTAAACATACATACGCTGCTCTATCTGCAGTGTTGTGACCTTTTCTAATATTCGCTGCAGTTTTTGTTTAAGGTTGGGCTATCTCTCTGGTATGCAAAGGAAGGAGGTTCATCCTAGGTGCTTGAGAAATTTTCTGGCATAACCTTGCCCAATGAAAAATCAGTCCTAGTCCTATTATGGCGTACATGGTATAGAGAGTGTGGTGTTGGGCTGAGCTAGGGAAGAGGAGGGACCCTAGAGATGTCAATGTCAGTGCCCCAAATATAATCATCATTTCTTGACAAATCTCTTGGTAAGGCTTAGTTTTTGGTGGTGATGATGGTAAGGGTATTGTTGAGGGCAGAGATGGCGATGGCGTAGACATCAATGATAGTGGTGGTTGCGACGATGAAGGTGATGTTGGTGGGGGAGTGGATGACACAGAGGTTGTCAATGGTGGTGATGGTCTTAAGCAAGCAGCGTAGGCCCAACAATATAGCAAAAGCCAAACAATAGAGACTAGAATAGTGTTAGGGTTAGTGGAAAAGGGGGAAATTGCATGATCACCTTGACTTTTCAACTGAAGCAAGCTAAGAAAGAATGTGGATATGAAGATAAAGATGGTGTTTAAGGCCTTTGGATTGAACAATTTTGGCTCAATAAATGGTGTTTGTTGATGCCCTTGATGGACGTTGTTGGGAGTCATGTGGAAGTTGCAAATTACTATCTGCTGGAAATTTGGCCGGTTTTGACCACTTATTTGCTCCATCTTAGACTGAAAGGGTTGCTGTAGGAAAAGAGTGGGAGATTGTTGATGTTGGTTTTATGACGCTTTTTTCTTTAGGGGGTAGATTTTATATGTTATGTGACTTGTTATATTAGGCGTCAATGTGACACCTTTCAAAAAAAAAAAAGGCGTCAAATGTACTGATAGTCTGATATAGTCTAGTTTAATTCCAAAAATTCGGCTACTAAAAATTCAAGTTGCTCAAAAAAAAAAAAAAAAAATTCAAAAAGGCCACTAAAAATTCGAGTTGATAAAAAAAAAAAAACAAAAAAATTTCCAAAAAGTCCAAGCTTGAAGCTTCCGGAAGAGTGTCCTTCCACCTCATGATACGGGATAACGGATTAACGGGAAGAGTGTAGTTGAGTTGACTACTTGTTAGTTGTTACCTTACCAAGTTACCATAGTATGCCGACTTGGGCCTTCGTTTAGAGAGAGCCTTTTCATTGAAAATCCAAATTCATTGGCAAATAAATATAGACTTGGGCCTATTGCCTTGGTCCATCTTAGGAAATAAGAGCGATCTATTTGATGATTCTATGTACTTAAATCTTAACCAAGCAACAAGATTAACTAACTTGTTCATCTACTAGTTTGGATAATTATAAATGCGAGGAAATTTTGATTTTTACCACCTTCAAATAACGACTTTATTGAATTTACCACCTCCAAAAAAAAAAGATTTACTTTACCACCTCATAAAAAAATTAAACATCAGTTTTCCCACCTAAGCCTAACTTCGGTGACGGAAACCGCCAAAGGGGCCCGCCATAACAGCTAGTTTTTGAAATTATCCCCAAATTCTCCCGATTTCCCATTGATTTAAACCTAACTTCTTCATTTCTACATCTATTTCGTGAAGATTGAAGTTTTTTTTTGCCATTTTCTTCACAAATTCTGATTTTGGGTGATCCTTAACAATCCCACATCCTCAAATTATCAAATTATTGAAGATTGTACTCGGCCCTGAATCAATTGAACTGTTCGACGACAAACAGCGAAAAGGTAAGCAATTTTCATGAATTCTGTTGTAATTTTTTGCAATTGTTTGCGTGATTATGTTACAACTGCTAAGTATAATTGAAATTGCATGTTTTCTGTTATTAATTCAACCCCAATTTCATATTGTAAATAATTAGGGTTCATGTAAGTGTAAATTAATTTGGGGGTTTTTGATATTTCAATTAGGCAGTAAAATTAGGGTTAGATTATGGTAATTGTGTTCAAATACAATTAACTTCAATGAAAATTTGGCAGTAGAAATGGTCACACTACCTCCGAATTACGAGAACAATTTTTTTCCAGAAGTCGAATCTATTCTTCGTCGCCGTTTGTTTTCTGAAACCTCTGTCATATAACAATCAGGTTCAGGAAACAGAAATTGAAGCAGCTCAGGTACGAGTAATTGTTGTTGCTCATCCACGGATTCGGTATTTATAAGATCAAACACGTTTTTGTTTGCAATCCTTAAGCCATTAAGGATACAAATCAGACCAAAAACCAAGCTATAAGCAAATTATAAGATGAACTTTGGCTCATTTACTACCCAAATTAAGGATTTGTAAAGAAAATTGCAAAAAAAAAAAACTTCAATCTTCAACAATTTGATGTGGAGATGAAGAAGGTTGTTTAAATAGGAGGAAAATCGAGAGAATTTGGGGATAATTTCAAAAACTAGCTGTTATGGCGGGCCCCACTGGTGGTTTCCGTCACCAGAGTTAGGCTTAGGTGGGAAAACTAATGTTTAATTTTTTTTATAAGGTGGTAAAGTAAATCTTTTTTTTTTGGAGGTGGTAAATTCAATAAAGTTGTTATTTGAAGGTGGTAAAAATCAAAATTTCCTAAATGCGAAGCAGAAAGGAAAATTTGTCAAAAGGATCCTTTTTAAGTAGACTTTTTATGTGAGAAGGGTTATTTTATTTAAAAAGTTAACAAATTGAAACCTTACATGAATTTATTTTCGTGAAAAGGGACCGGATGAATTCAAGCTTTCACTTGATTTATTTGGTGTTGACCCTCGTATGCAGAGCATGTTGCCTCGTTTTTATCTCTTTATCACCTCCCCAACTATCATGTTAACTATCATCCCACGATTAGCCCACCACCACTCACCCGTCACCACCATACCAAAATCAAACTCCATCATATTTGTCAACTTTTCTGATTTATTAATTTTTGTTTATTATTTACAGTACTAATTATTTCGTAAAAAAAAAAAAAAAAAAAAAAAAGTTGGTACAATTAAATATATGATTATTGTCAAAAGTTTAAATTTAAAAATTACTAGATGAAGCCCGTGCGATGCATGGTTTGTTTGAATTTTTTAAAATAATTTTTTTTATATATATTTATGTGCTAAAGCTGTTAAATATTTAGATAAAATTTCTAATATCAAAAGATTATATTTTATAATTAATTAATTTAAACTGAATAATCTCATTCGCCAATTTTGCTTACGTGTCACTTAAATTATTTAATTCTAAAAGAATTAATAATCTTGTATTTAATTGGCTACCACTAAAATTTATTATCCTAAGTGGCGCGTTGAAAAAATTAAATCCTAAGTGGCTTTTTAAAAACTTGGGGAAAAACTCCCCTTTATATGTATATTAGATTTATGGCTAAGGTTTATGGGGAAAGTTCCACTGCATGCACTTCTCTTTTGGGTTCTTGATAAGTTCTTAAAATGACTTTGGTAGGTGTTTGGTGTAGTATTCGCAAAATTTGTGATCGGAACATCATATGGTTGTTTGTTTAATTATGATGAAGAAGTAAAGGTGTGATTCAATTTTAAACATCAATTTATCCGAATTTATACTTTAATTGTTTACTTAAGGAATTATTTTCATGGTTGTTGACCCTGCAACCTCGACAATGGAAGAAAAGTAATGAACAGGGGAGGAAAAAGAGAGCAAGTGTCGGCTATTAGAGAAGGTTGTTATAGAATAATAGATTAAATAACTAAGACTACTCATAAAAACATTTAGAATTAAGTATCACCACTAGCATAATCAATATAAGACATATTCTAGCCCAAATCAATCAATGCATAGTCATTCTACCCCTAACATATAATACAATCAACAAGAGGAAAAGTAATCCCTATAAAATACCAAATGTATCTCTCGAGTTATCAATGGCTTCCCTAATCACAATCAAGCCTACTCTCGTGGAATATTGGAGACATTAAGCTCATTACTCTAAATTCTTAGTCATTCATTCAACTATTCTCATGATGAGCTTCAACTCGTTAATTGATCCATTCAAATCCGTTAAAAACACAACTCTTGTTGTGATCAAAACAAAGGAATGATAATAATACCAATTATCTCTAATCTGGTATCGGCATAAGAAAAATCAATTAAGTATGAACAATATAAACAACTAATTGAAAATTTAAAAGAAAAAATCAAGTATCAATTATGGCTGGGGTTCGACCTAACCCTAGAACAATGATCTACTCTAACATAATAAAAGAAATAAAATAATAGAAGAAAATATAATACTTGAATTAATAAAATAAAACTAAAGAGAAAACTAGGGTTCTAAACTAATGGGGAATGGGGTTATGAAATAATAAAGCCAAGGAGTATTGATAATGGAGCTAGGAATTAGAATAGAATTAGGAAAATAATCCGCTAATAAGATGATTTATTCGCCCAGGCACGGACGTGCTAGCATGAGGCACGCCCATGTCTCGTTGCTGCACGCGTAACTCGTCTTAAAACGGTCATAACTTGAGCTCCAGATCTTTGTTTGAGGCGTGTATATATCTTTGGAAAGCTCTTGAAGTCTACTTTCCAATGCAATTTGAATCACTCCAATATCATTTGTACATCAAATGTTATGATCAAAATAGTAGACAAGACTCATATTGTCAAGTCTTTCTTCATTCAACGCCTTTACTTCTTTCTATCCTTATTTTCTCTCGAAAACATGATTTGAGATCCTGAGCGATGTAGCTTCAAAATCTACGATTATTATACTCAACATTAGCCAACCATAATCCATTTGCATCTAAATCATCTGAAAATCATAAAACACGTAAACGGAAAGTAGTAGAGCATAACCTAAGCAAATAATGTACAAGTACACCACAAACCTCTAAATATATAAGCAATTGAGTGTAGATAAGCACCTAAAATGTGTACAAATTAAGACCTATTATTAAATTTGATTAGAAAAGTACAGTGAGATCCTTATAGGTGAAAAAAAAAAAAAATTGTGATAGATCCTTAAAGTGAAGACCATGAAATGTTAGGTTCTTGTCTTATACCTAACTCTTCATTTGAAAAAATCAACTTTTTACTTTTCCATATGCAATTTATAAAGAGAGAATAAAGAAAAAAGAAACTCCATCCATCTCACATGTCTTAAGTTTCAAACATGTGTTTGAGGATGTTGCGATCTTGGAGAAGCTAATATGAGGCAGCATTGGTGTATGCAAACAAGTTGCAAACCTAGCATTGGAGGAGAGAGGAAAATCAGATATATTTGTATATTGGTCACTGATAAGTGGCATGATATGGGCGGTGCTTGAGCGACGGCAATTTATAATAGGTAGTGTGAAGGGGTGGATGGCATTGGGTCCAAACGAGGAGGGGGGAGAATAGAGCCAAGGGAAAGGGAATAAGGGCATGGGAAGAGCCAATTTCGATAAGAAATGAGAAAATTATGGTTGTTTTATGAAGAACTGTTAAAGCTGGGGAAGAAGCACGAACATGCCTTGCATAGCACTCCCGTGCCTAGTCGAGTGAAGGCGTTTTGCTTCTACTAAATGATGGTCAAAGATTATTAAGTGAATAGTGTAAAAGTTCTTATGGTGCAATAAAAGATAAACGGAGGAAGTATAAAAAACGCAAATTTGAGGAATATTGTAGAAAATAGATGAGATGAACACATAGATTTACGTAGTTCGGTCGCATGACCTATGCCAACAGAGAAAGGGATAATATTTTCTTACTAAAAAACACATAACTAGAGTAAAATTGAAGATATTAATAGCTAGAGTAATGCATTGGGATGTGTAAAATCTCTCATGGTGTAATAAAAAAAGAACGGAGGAAGTATTATTTTCTATGTTACGCACATATCAAACACATTACCCAAATAAATCAGTCCTTGTTATACTCGGTACTATATTCAATAGTCGGTCTATTATTTGTTAGTCCTCAACGTGCGGATCAAGGTTATCCAAAGGTTACTTGTGCATCAAGTATTTTATTCTCATCCCATCTTTGTAGGTTAACTCATTCCACGCTGCTATCCGTTTTAGAAAACAAGCGCCTATAAATAACAAATATCGGTAGTAATCAGTTTCCTGAAAAATCTACTTGTATTTTCCTTTTGTTTTGCCACAATCTGTATTTCATTCTCTCTAATTCATAGATCGATCACATTATAATACAGGAAAATAACAGGTCTTTTCCTATTAAGATGTCAGACGACCAGGGTAATCTCATGTCTGCTGATGTAGGTGGTTCAGATCTTGTTTCGCGCAGCAATGGCAAAGGACCAGCGGCGAAAAAGGTAGCAGAATTTTCTGATATCTTTATGAAGCGAAAGATAGACAACCAAATTGCCTTTGATAAATTAGATGATTCTAGTAAAAGAATTCGTACGGAGAAAGCGGCTGCTTTTCCCAATCAAGAATCAAATCATAATAAAGAAGACGACGTTACGAAGGAATCGGTACTTCGTGAACCTCCTGTTGGAAAAGGATCGTATGGTGCGCTGAACTGGCTCAGGGAGCGTGGCGCGCTGAGCCAAACTGTTGAACCGATGATCATGAGTGGACGAAGCATGAACAAGAAAATTGTTGATGGAGGAGGAGCGAAGGAGATATGTATTGAGAGGAAGGACAAATATGGAAGAGATTTAACTCCGAAACAAGCCTTTCGTGAGCTGTGTTATAGATTCCATGGAAAAGAGCCTGGTAGGAAAAAACAGGAAAAGAGGATAAAGTTGTACCAAGACGAATTCAGGCTTAAACAAGGGAGTTCCATTGATGCGTCCGTGGAATGAATGAGGAAGACACAAGCTGAATCAAAGACACCCTATGTTGTTCTTGATGGATATGTTAAACCCTAGATTCAATGTAAGTGATGATCATCTGATGGATATTGTTTAATTTCTTGTTTATCATTAATTAATTATGTCCTAGTTATGCTTGGATTTTCAGTTGTTTTCTTTAGTATTGGTTTATCATATTTGGAGAACATTGTTATATGCATAATGTTTGACAGTGTTTTGTGTTTTGGACTATTATTATGTGATAATAAAAGGAATTTATCTTCCTGTTTGGACAACTTTCATGGAATATTCCTAGTTATGCTTTCATGGGTAATGTACTTATGTCAAGAATTTGTTGCAATTGTTTTTCATATAATTGCTAGCTAGATCTCTTTGTTTTACAAAGCATGATATTCCTTTACACTAATATTAATGTACATCGAGTAGTATAAGGGTAACTTTTAGCTAATTTTAGGGTAATTTTTTCTCTTTTTTTGGGTAACTTTAAACATAATACAATTTTTATATAAATCAACAACAAAAAGGTAATTTAATTACATTCAATCACTAATCATTGAATTTTAGTCATTTAAAATGTGAATCTTTACTTGATAGAGAATATCCATAGAATATTTTCATCCTAGGTTTAGGATATATTTTGTATAAGATTATCTTTGATATCCGCATATCTTATAGTTTAGGTTTCTCATTGTAACCCTATAAATATTGATCAATGGAAGTCACTCTAATCAAGGAGTTTATATTATCTGACATGCTATAATAAAGCGTAATAATTTTTATTTGAATTGGGTTACTTTAACGTATATTGAGGTAACTTTTATTCATTTTAGAGGTAACTTATAATCACTTTAGGTTATCTTTATAATGAATGTACAATTGTACACCCGATATTTTAAAAAGTTTGTGAAAAAAAGGTGTATTCATCAATTCAAGTGATGCAAGCAATTGCAATTGCCTAAATCATATGAGACGTATCGAAGACAGTGTGGAACTCAGGGGATATTGAGGTACCAGTGAGTTAAGTGCAATAGACAATAGTAGAGGGTATAAAATTGAAGGATCCTTTGCCCAAATGCCAAAACGCAAA